ACCCATCTTTATTCTCACACATATCCAATTAATTTCGAAGACACTTATTCAATAATTAAATATGATAAATTTATATGCGCATTGGTTTTTAATTTTAAGACGTATGCATTTGAAAAGCAAAGCTGCGCGAGTGTGACAGAGTAGCAGTTAGAAGGGAAGAATAACAATAATGACGTAGTTAAACTCGCCAGCTATATTTACACCAAGTCTGAGGTATAAGTAGAGCTAATCTGTGATTGGTTAATTTGACGATGTTACATAACAAAGAAGATTCTCGACTTTGGTAGAACAAATAAATTTAGGGGGAGAGCACCAAATCTAGAATGTTAATTTTGAGGTCTCCAATTATTTTTAAAGCAGCTATCGCATTTCCTTTTATCTTACATATTTCGTATTTTCTTATATCTTACATATATATGTAAGATATATGAGGTATTACATATATCTTACATATATATGTAAGATATATGAGGTATTACATATATATGTGCTATGTATTTAAGCACAGATATACATACATACATACATATATATATATATATATATATTAACTTACTAACTATGGATTCACTATTTTTAGATAATTCTACTAAAATTAATGTTAGGAGATAATATAATCAATATTTCTTTAGTATATATATATATATATGAATGTATATGTAACAGATTCTGTAGTACGAGTAGAAATCAGGCGGTTGAATTCCTAATGAACAGCGGGGATTTGGATGGCGTAGAAGTGCTGATCCATAATGAATAGCAAAACTGAGACGAAAGCAGATTAAATCTTCATTTTTTATTTCAGTAAACATGTTGCGGCCACAAACAAGTTGGCACATTTTGTGCCTATTCCAAAAAGCTTACATTTTAGATAATTTTGCAGTAAGGAAGGAGGAACGCACATACTGCAGTCCAGCCAGGCCAAAGCGTAGAAAACAAGAGCGTTATGATCAGGCTGAAATCTTAATTCAGATTGAATTGGTTTTGGTTCTCAATGCATTTTGATTGGATAATTAATATTACTGTAAAATTACTATTGGCTGCTTGAGTTTTAGTTTAATTTGCATCACCAGAATTATGTAAGAGTCATATGGCATGGATTAATCTAGAAATGGTGCAGTGCAGAGAGAGGTTACTATTTTTAGAATTGAGAAGGGAAATTTATGTTGCTAATTTAATCTTTTTCATATTCTTTATTTTTCTTACATATATATGTGAGTGTGTGTGTGTGTGTGTAAGATAAAAATATGTAAATCAGTTTTATAATTTAATTTAGTAATAGCCCCTTTTATCCTGTCATTTTTAATTTGAGTATTTCTTCTCTGTATTCTGAAAGTAGTCATAACTTTTCTGGATTGCCCCATTTCTAGATCAATCTACGTCACATGGCTTGCGTAATGCTGATGACGTAGCTAATTCGAACTTTAACTCAAAATTTTGAGAACTGAAAATTTCTAACCTAAACCCAAACCTTCTCTTAGTGAGCTTCCACACTGGATAACTGCGCACTTTAGCTTCAACCCTCTCTCTCTCTCTCTCTCTATATATATATATAATAAGATGATTTGGAGTAAGCTGCAACGGATTCACGACGGTTCTCTGCGTTATGACATGGTGCGTTACATTACAGCGTATATCTCTATACGCTGTAATGAATATGCTATATATGTAATGAATGTTCTATATATAAAGATGATGCATGCAATTTTCATTCATTTTATACGTATTTCTTATTTAAAACATTTAGCGTATATCTCTATACGCTGTAATGAATATGTTCTATATGTAATGAATGTTCTATATATAAAGAAGATGATGCATGCAATTTTCATTCAATTTATACGTATTTCTTATGTAAAAAATTCTGATATATGCTAAATTACTGTAAATTATTTTACTCAAAAAATATAGTGAATGCACAGAAATTGAGCAATATGAAATGAAATGAAAAATATTAAATATGTATGGGGATTTAGGCATATATAAAAAGGCTTGTAAGAAGCATGTATTTACCTTTAATAAATATGTAAATATTTATTAAATTAATTATAAATGTATTTAGAAATGAAGGATTTATTTATTCATAAACTTCTGTGAATGTTACTGTGAAAAAATCTAGTTATTAAATATATCCAAATTTATAATGATCGTAAATATCATATAAATATATAATAACTTTAACATTTGATTGAAAGCATGAAAGCATAAATTGAAATTCTGTTGACAAATATATTTATAAAAGTTTTTTAAACAAGAATTATTCGTACTGGAAAACAGTCTGTTAAAATGTGTTGTAAAGATATATAGTCTATGTCAGTGATGGCGAACCTATGGCACGCGTGCCACAGTCGGCACGCAGAGCCTCATCAGCTGGCATGCGACTAAAATATTACTTCCTTAATCAGTAATCTCAATAAAATGATACTATGTAATTTAAATACGGTTTTTAGTCTGTTCTTAAAATTTTCACTTACTTACTTATCGCATAATGCCACTAGCATAGGGCCTAAGCATAGATATAAGGTTGTCATGTATCACCATAGAAATACCCAATTTATGACTTTCAATTGTTTGGGCTAATCATCTTACTTGTTACATGGCAAAGAATACGCCAGAGTTGAAGCAGCTAATGTTTGCTAACAGAATTCAAATTTATGGCAGACTTTTGTTGAGTTTTAATACTTGCATTGTTAAATGGATTACAGTTTTCAGATCTAAGCATTTTGAGACAACTTATGAATAATTCTAATTTAATATCTTAAACGGAATGGCACGCGGCCCAAAAAAGGTTCGCCACCACTGGTATATGAAATGCGCACTTAAGGAGGTAGTAAAAGAGGTTAGGTTAGGTTATTTAATTACGGCAAAGCCTCGAGGGCTATCTCGCCTAAGGGGATGGATGCTTTCGTGGAGGACTTTCTAAGGGAAACTGGCTCGTATACACGTCACACATGGGGAAAACCACGAAAACACCCATGCAGCCAGCCCGTTCGCGGGATTCGAACTTCAGACCGAACTACCAGTGTTCAGTGACTTCACCGCTCGGCCGCTGGTGGGCCAGAAAGTACATGAAACATCAGAAACATTTAACGTATTTCAGTATTAAAATAAAAGGTGAAATTAACAGAACAGAGCGTTAAATTAGAGTGACTATGATTTTTGATTTAAAAGAAGCCTCAGAAGCTGAAAATAATCTTATACTTTGAGAAAGTATTTCAAAAAGAAACTGTGTAAATAGAAAAGAGACAGTGCGCAATTTTAATATTAATAATACAATAAACTTTGATTTTAATTTTTGTAATCCTTAACGGAATAAAATCGACTTACCTTAGAATTTCTTTCTAATGTAGTTAACAAAACTTGTGAAAATATTTCAATCAAATTAAAAGTGTTCTGAGCAAGCTGTTTTAGTAAAAGTATAGTATTTAATTCCGTTCAGATAGAAATGTCATTTAATAACTTATTTTTTCACATACTTAGGAAATATTGTAGAAAAAGAAAATATATAGATTTATACGTATACTAGAAAGCCCGGCGGTCATACGAAACGACTACTGTTCTAGCTATTATAAATTGTAATTAAAATCATTTGTGCAAAGGTGTCTATTAATTCAAACTGAATTACCCAGGGCAGGCGGCGAGGACGGCCCTTTGCTTACTGACCCAGGGGGTTCCCCCTTCTACTTGCTTAATTGCTTAAAGTAGAGTGCAATGAAGGAAACCACTGGCGGTACATTTCTTAAGAGCCACCGCTAGCTCAGTAACTAAAGGTGATTTAAATAATAAAATGTTAATTCACATGTTAAAGATCTCTCTGTACACAACATTTCTTGTGTAGATTTTTCCATCATTTTTAAGCTCGCCTTACAGAGAACCATCAATTATTTTTAATTTTACGTCCATTCTTTCACGAACTCTTGAAGAGGCAACATAAAGTTGGCCGTGTCCAAATGCAGGCTCAGGTGAAAAAATGTCAACACGCTTAAGCGTTTGGCCCTGAGACTTATTGATGGTCATAGCAAAGGCAAGTTTTACAGGGAATTGTCTACGTCTCAAATGAAACGGCAACCCTGTGCCGTGGCAACTTCACCCCATTGGCTAGTACAGTTACGTAAGCAACCAATAAACTATCGGCGACAAACGGATACGTAAGCCGCATATAATAAAGATATTTATTTGTAGCACTGGATCTGGATCGTAAATTTAAAGTCTGGCCTCTACTACAAAGAGTAATTACCAGTAGATATCTTGGCCCTTGGGCTCTTACTTTATTATTATTTTTTTTTTTTTTTTTTTCAATTAAAGGTACACTGTCTTGTGTGCCGCGTCCTGGAGACGAAAAAACTAAGAAACACAGGTGGCAAGTCAGGAAAATCATTCCTTCGTGAAAGTTAGAGCATTTAAACAATGATGCTGAAATTAATCCATTTAAGTAATAATACCTTCTTAACTATACACAAACTAGCCAAAAAAAGTGAGTAAATAAGATGCGAAAAAAAAATACGAAACATTTTTTGTAGCACCTGTAGCAATCTTGCTTTTAATCAAGAAGAAAGGAGATGAGGATTTTGGCGAACGCCGTTTCCTCCAGTCCGTGAGGATTTCATATGTAATGGACGGTGACCAGATATTAACATGCATACGTCCACGGGTCACTTCAAAATCAGATATTTGTTTATTTCATTTTTTTTTTTTTTTTTTTTAATCGTTGCCTATTTTTACCGGCTACATATTTCCGAATTCTATTATACATAGATGTTAAATTTATTTTTTAAATGTTAAATGCACGTGCTTTTGTAGTTTTAATTTTTCCGGCTTAGCTTTCTCATAATATTCGTCACGCGCTGCACTGCACGGGGAATAAAACAATTTATAGTTACGCAAGCAACCAATAAACTATCGGCGACAAACACTTAAGCTGCATATATATAAGATGTTTACTAACATTATTTATTTAATTAAATAGCGTGAAACAATTTTACAAACTGAAATAGATTATAGTTGTTAACAATGTTGAATAAGAAAAGCCAGTACGGTGTTCCAAACCGTTGACTGAACAGCGCTGCTTTAAGCACAACACCGGTTGCTATTGGATACGGCGTAAAGTATTTTACTTAGCTTTGGGAACTGTATTTTGCTTCTCGATTACCGAACAACCTTTTGGTCTTTCGTTCGCCCTTCAATTTTATGTTCAGCGAAAGGTGCATTTTATTGACATTCTTATTCTGCAGTCTATTATTCAATCGAAATGGATATAAAGTTTTATTATTGTGGACAAATCGAATTTTGTTAAGTAGTCTGCGTGAAACTATTTTTAAAAAGCATGCATGCTAAAATATAAGTATGTTTATTTTTATATGCATCAGAAACTTTATTTTTAAATAGTTTAACTAACTACGGTCATATGGGTTGTCATTCTTCTCATTCGTAATTACCAACATATTTTACCTAAAAACTTAAATTATGATACAAAATTTGTAGTTATTTTAATGCAGTTTCATCTGGCTTATTCAGTCTTTGTTTTAGTTGTAAGAATGCTAATAATCTAAAACTAATTAAATATTTTGAAGTGCCTATATTTTTATTTTCAAATTATCTCTTATTTTTGTCTTACAGTTGTAGATGTATTTCTAGAAACACGGTATAGGATGTATAATTCTTTGAAAACAGCTGCTTAAGAACATATTAATATATGTGTGCAAATTGTGAATCTAGTTGCTCATTTTTCAGCATCTGAATTTGTCAAGAAGATATTATTCTGTATAATAGGATTCAGTAGATTATTATTATTATTATTATTATTATTATTATTTTCAAATAAGTAATTTGAAATACTTAATTTCAAGATTTAGGCAGGAAATTATCGCTCATGTACACTGCTCTCCAAATGTTAAGGAACGGTATGTTGCTCACCATTATAAAAATGTCTAACATTAGAAACGGAGCTTAAGGAAATATATGCAAAAACAATAGCTGCCACCTGTATTTTTTAGAAATGAATACTTTAAATGAGAGTTGGAGAAAAAATGCAAAAATTGTGAGTTTTGTTTATGAGCGTTGATTTTCAATTTTTATTAGCAATTTCATTGAGAATATCCAGGGGTGTCTATTAGTATTTCACTGTTTGCAGAGATTTCTTGTGTATCTTGATATTAGTGTCCAGGAGAAGTCATTTGCCTGCTTCACTGAGGTGGCGGGCAATCAGATGGATAGAAATGGGAATGTCACAACCTGATTCTGTTAGATGTCTCTCATAGTGTGGTCCACCAACTATGGAATCAGTCTGAATCTGAGGATTTTGTGTTTAGAAGACATGTTCCTGGTAGACCTAGAGTTACAACACCTGCAGGAGATTTCTTTCGTTTCTTTTATCCGAAGGAGGAGTAACATTATTGTGCCCTCAGCTCATGGCAGATCATTTAGTGACAATAAGAATATCAGCTACCACAGTGTGCAGATGCCTGCACCTGTATGCTAGATGACCAGTTGTTTGTGTCCCCTTGACCTGAGGACACAGAAGTGCCTATTTTGTTGGGCAAGAGAACATGCCTCCTAGACCAGTCAAGAATGAGTGTTCTGTTCTCTTCACAGACAAGTCCAGGTTCAGATTGGAGTCCAGGTCATCAGCTGATCTGGAGGGAACAACGCACCAGATACAACCAATCCCACATTGTGGAAAGACATAGTTACAGAGGTGGTGGAATAATGGATTGGGCTAGGATCTCTCTCGGTGGTCACACTGATCTGCATGTATTCCACGGATAACTTTGACTGGTGTAAGATATCAAGACAAGATCCTTGATCAATATTGTCTGCCTATATGCCACTGCTATTGGTCCTGGATTTCTTTTGATGGACGACAATGCACAACTGCACCAAGCTTGGGTTGCTGAAGAATATCTTGAGGGTTTACAGTATGGAGGGAATGGAATGACCAGCTCAATCCCCAGACCTGAATCCAATAGAGCATCTTTGGGAATACTTTGGGAGACAGGTTGCTGCTTTAAGTTCTCCAAGGGGTTAGATGAGCTTGAATAAGGATTACTCCATGTCTGGTCATTGCTTCCCATTTCACTGACCGACAACTTAATTGACAGCATGGAACGTTGCTGTTGCGAATGTATAACATCTAGGGGTGGACACATTCCTTATAAGAACCCATTTTTGTAATTTTACCACCCCATTTTTCTTTAAAAAAAACTGCAATATACTGTTTTTGGAAGACTTGATTTCTTTGCAAAGAGTGAAATTTTTTGTTGTAATTCATGTTTGTGTTGAATGTTAGAAACATTTTATGTTGCATTCATTAAAAAACTGTTTAGTGAACATGTCCTCTAAATTCCTGGTTTCTATGTTGCTTCATTCTCAGATTAGACACTAAAAACATGCTGTTCCTTTCCATGCTGCTTTTGGAGGGCAGTGTATTTTACTTTTATTGTAGATATTGTTATTTTAAGAAATAGATTATGCATAATTTTCAAAGCTGTTAAATATGCATAAACATAAAAAAAAAAAAAATTGGAGAAATGCACTTGTTCAGCATCTGCAAACTTGTGTATTGAAGCATAAAAATGAACATATCAACATGTGTCCGTGGCTTGCCACACAAGTACTTTTGGGTGACATCGTGGGTTGTCTCATAACTATTGTTTGTGACATGCTTTCTTTACCTGATAAATACTTTTTGGTGGGTGTGTGGATAATCAGAATGTACTAAGTTTTCTTTCAAGATAAGGCAAATTTAATAGAATTAATAATACTGATAAAAGCAGCACTGAGATATCTGTGCTGCTTTTATCAGTATTATTAATACTGAGATATCTGTGCTGCTTTTATCAGTATTATTAATACTGAGATATCTGTGCTGCTTTTATCAGTATAATTAACTGATGCTGAGTTTTTAATGCTAGAACTTTTACCATGAAACTTGCACATGTAAGGAAATTAAATAATATGTATGTTACCTAAAATGTCTTCCTTATATCTCAGACTCCTCATATTCAGTTTAGAAATCTGTAATTATGCAGAGTTGGGGTAAAATCAGTGAACCTGAAGCATAAAATGTAATCTAATTAGTAAATAAATTTTATATGAAAGTTAATGTGGTTGGTGCTTTAAAATTATTAGCTGTGTCACTTTAATGTAATAAATGAATATAGTCATAAATTACAAGTATTAAATGCATTTAATTTCTGCAAACATAGTTGGTATTTTCCTCTTTTTTTTTTTTTTAGCATTTGATGTAAAAAAAAAACTTTTGTTTTAAATTTTTATTTTTACAGATGATGTGAAATCGTAAAGCATTTGAGAATATAAAAATAGTATGACAATGAAGACATTCAAAAGTACAGATACTACTCGAGAGCATGGAAGAAATGATTTAATCAAAAGTATTCCAGTAACAATGAAATTAATAAACTGTTTTCCCCCTTGCTTAACATAAAAGACTGGTAAATATCCTGAGCATTTTGATAATTTAACTTCTGTAACATTTTGTGTTTTAATAATATATAAACTTCTTTCGATTTGGTATTCAGATATAGCTGAATGTAACTATTTATTCATAGCAAAATTTTATTATATTTTCATTTGAAATAAAAAAATTGAAGTGCTTTTCTTTGTTAAAAATGTCCTCTGTGCTTCGTCACTAAAACTGGAAAACTTAATCACCAGGTCTGTAACATGCAAAGATCAGATGTCACTGAAAGCTTAGGAACACAGTAGCCAACACTTTAACAAGGAAGTACCAAATTCGATTAGTTTTTTTTCTAATTCAGTTATGTTTTCTATGTTTATACATACCCAAATCTTTCAGTGAAGATTTATATATATGAAATGGATGTGACTGATTATGAAATAATTATAACTAATTAAAATGGCATGCTTGTTTTGTGACAGTATTATATAATTTTTATTTAAACAGCAATTTAGAATCCTTCATTTAAACATGAGAGTTAGCTTCATAATAAGGTTTTTCTTGTTTATATACATTGTCTTCTGTAAGTTAAGCACAATGCAAATTAGCAATTTTTGAAAGCATAGTTGAATTTGAGTGGCTGAAAATCACTGCAGATGGAGTATGCAAATATTGTATGTTACAGCCAATCATGATTGACATATACTAATTAGGCATATTGAAGGCACCAGCACTCTGAAGGGTTTAAGGGCGTTCATTTAAATGATGAAATGTTTATAACTTTCCCTGGATAATTTTGATGATATTGATGTTTCTATAGCTAAAGGAAGATAAATGGCAGTTAGTGAGTTCTGGCATGCTGCCATTTGCATTTAAGCAGGACAGTCAATCAAAGATGTCTTTTTTTTTTTTTTTTTTTCTTTGCCATTGATCATTTGGTAATTTTTTTGAATGGGAAAACACTTTTGAACAAGTCTAGAACACAGTCTTTGAACACAATTATCCAGAGATTTAAGCTTGACTAATCAATTGTTAGCACCCCTTCTGAAGAACATTATGTTTCTGTATGATTAATGTACAATTTTATGTATTCTACCAACTCCCTGATCCTCCTTTTACACTGTTTCCTGTATTTAGTTATTGTATAAGGTATTTCTCCTGCCTTCTTAGCATGCCTTCATGGTGTAGTAGTTCTGCACACTGGGCTGGTATTCCAGAGGTCCGTGGTTTGATTCTCAGCGAAGGCGATTGCTCATTTTTCATCTTGCCTGCTTCCAAAAAATCTTAATGTCTCTACAGTGGCGCCTGAACTAAAAAGGGTGTTGGATGATGATTCTTCTCACCCATGATTTGTGATTGGATCCCCTAAAGACTCCAGTCTCCCTTTAAAAGGGGGAGTATATAAGGTATTTCTCCCACCTTCCTAGCATGCCTTCATGGTGTAGTAGTTCTGCACGCTGCACCGGTATTTCAGAGGTCCATGGTTCGATTCCTAGCGAAGGTGATTGCTCATTTTTCATCTTGCCTGCTTCCCAAAAATCTTAATGTCTCTACAATTGGTATTTTGCTTACATGCGGATGATTGTTTTGGGATGGTTTTTTGTAATAAATGGCATTTCTTTCATATAAACATGCGCTTACCTTTGCTTGCAGTTCATCTTCTAGGCAGCAGTCTGGTATAGCTTCAGTCTCGAACGGCTTACATCTTTCATTACATAGGTTTCCTATTTTTATGAACTGTTCCTATTTTATTTATTATGTGAGACATCACTGCCGGATCTAATTGACTTATGCCACTTCTTTCTATGCTATGAACTTTTCTTACTGTTAGAACATTTTGTGTTAGAAAATCGGCATCAGGTTACTCTGGGGTAGTGTTCCAGTGTGGGAACCTGTGTTGCAAGCCATCATCTTGCCTGAGCCAAGGTGTTGCAGTGTGACATTATACAAGACCTTCACTTTGTCTTTTTTCATTTTGAAATTATATGTTGTTTAGCTAACCAAGCAATCCAAAATGGAATATTTTTGCATCTTTGTAATTTATATTATTATTTTATTCTTAAATAATACATTAGAAAACCAAAAATCTCCCTGCACCTGAAACCAACACAGTCTGTCAGATGTTTTAGAACCACAGTACTTCCTTGGTTGTGTGGCACATTGAGAAGTACTCTGCTTCTACTGTTCCAGAAGACAGCTCCACCTGCTAGCAATGCAACATAGCTACTAAATGATCATCTATCAATCCTATCAGCAGTCCAATTGAACACTTCCAGAACTCTTCTAAATCCTTTCCAGTCTTTTGGAAAGTAAATTTTAATTCTTTGGTTTGTTTCTGGTAATGAAGAGTATATTGTATGCCAGCCCAATGTGGATAAATCAGGCCTTGTTCCTCCTGCTAGGTACAAAAAGTCCTCTAATAACCTGCCTATATTTTAGTGCTCCTTCAGCATCCAACACGTTATCCTTAGTGAGCTGGTTTATATTTAGAAAAATAAAAACTGTGTTGCCACACAAGTTGCAAAAATACATTGGGAAATATAATTTAAACAAATTTTAATTTTAATTTTAACAAACACATATAAAAGTAAAAAAGCAAATTTAAAGCCAAAATAATTTTAAAAAAATGTGCAAACATATAAAAGATTTAATTCTCGAACTAATCTACAATATCATTTAAATTCAGAAATATAAGCAAATCAATTGCAAAAACAATCCATGAAAATAATTTCAATAATTTAGAAAATTAAAATTAATTCAAATATTTTTTTTTTTTTTTTTAAATGCATAAGTGAATGACTGTTGAGCAGGCAGGAGACAGACTTATCAAGGGGAAGTTGCCTCTAAACCTAACTCTCCAATCATTCAATTTGTGTTTCGTCATTCATGTAGGCAAGGGTAAAAGTCAAAACCAAAAGTAAAAAGTGAAGAATGTCCAAAAAGAAATACAGTCAAAAGTCGTTAATCCGGACTCGTCGGGACTTCGGCGATTCCGGATTATCGATTTTTCCGGATTATAGATGATCAGTTTAAATCTCGTAAGATGGCATGCAGAAATTATAAAATTAAAAATATGAAACCGTAATTTATGAAATAAAGAACAATTATGATCTAAAGGGTATCAAAATTTGCAAAAAGAAAAAGCTTAATACTTATTTGTTTACTTTATTAAACATTTCTTTCAATGTAAGTTGTTTAAGTTTTGCTTCGTTTCATGTGATAATACTTTCTCTTTAATTCTATTAAACAGACATAATTTCTTGTTCAGTTACAACAAAGTTCCGCCGTTCAAGTCCTATAATTCAAGTGTAAGAATACCGACTAATTTGTCAATCGAATTTTTTTTGTTTTCAATAACCTCTGTCACTTTTCTTCGCTATCGGAAGTGAATTATAATGACAAGGAACTTGTTTTAAATCATATCAAAGACGAAGCATATCGAGATGAAATACTACATTTGGTAAGGAATTATAAGCCAAATAAAATAAAAACATCTGCGCTGAAGATAAGGATAGTGCTGACAAATCAACTTCCAATTCATTACGCGCCCGCCGCCGAGCAGCGTGAAATTGATAAACAGATTTCGGATTTCAAAACATACTTTCGCTTTAGATCCTTTACATATTAACAAATATATATCGGAAATTCTATTTGATATAATCCAAAGTTTAAGCTTACTTTTATAAAATTGCTCTTACAGTCTGCAAAAAATAATAAGCCGGATGCAATTCGAAAATTAAGGAACAACGCAATCATCAACATTAACTGAAATAGATAATTATTTAGCTTATACGTCCATTATACATAAAATGCGCGCGCGAAAACGTATTCTGCACTTGCGCACACTCATATGCGCAGTCGTAAAAGGTCTTACGCGCACGCGTGAACGCCTCTGCGCATGTGTCAACGCGGCGCATGCGCAGAAAGTTTTTAGTTTTGATGTCCGGATTATAGATCATTCCGAATTATGGGTGTCCGAATTAACGACTTTTGACTGTACCAATAAAGTGGTACCCTTATAAATTAGCATTTAAGAATTAAAGTTAAAAAATTTGTTTAAATTTAAATTTCATTCCTTGCAGCAATGGCGCAAAGAATTATTTATTTAATTAAATTCAATTTATTCTTGGGAAATATAATCATATATTAAAAGTTATTTGCAGCAGGTGATTTAACTAAGCATAGTTTTAATGAAAACAAAAGTTCAGTAGCTGTAATTTTTATACTTTTGTATTAATGAAGCAGAAGCTAAAATCTGCATGGAGTGCTAATGATAGAAATTGTACACCTCAAGTGATATCAAACATGCTTTGATCTAAATGCATTTCTTATTTGTTAGATTATGATGAAGGAATGGAGAGGGATTTTACAGTTTGCCAAATGCTAGATTATAAAAATCATTAATTTCCTTCATGAAAAAGGAATTATTTATGGTGAAAGACTGTTCAAATAACTTCAAAATGAAATTATGTTTAGCACAATGGCAAAATCGCACTGTAACCAACTGTCAGCCAAAAAGAAGAAAGGACTAGAAAATTAAAATTATTCAAAAATTCAAAATTATTTCTATCATCCTGTTATAATGAGTGACAGGACTTGAATGAAGTTCAGTAATTACACAATTATTCAAGGACAGTTATGTTTTTGAGCAGCAGTGTATCTTGAATGTATCTTTCTGGTTCTAATTACTATTTCAAGCTACATTTCACTACAACATTTATGTTTGGTAACATCTGTTGTCTCATTGAGGAAAAGTTCTGGAATTTCTAATTTTCATTAAGAATAGACCTAAAAATAATACTTTTCCACTGTATCAGAATAACATGTAAATAAATTCACAGTGCTCCTGCCAGGGGCATAGCTAGAGGGGGGCAAGAGGGAGCATCTGTTCCCGGGCACAGAATCCAAGGGGTGCCAAACTGATGTTACGACATTTTAGAATTAAGTGTTTTCCATCCTTGGCAAGCAATAGGGGGTGCGAAATCTTCAGTTGTCCCTGGGCGCTGAAAACCTTAGCTACGACTCTGGCTCCTGCATAGTGAAGAAATAAATTTAGGATAACAAAACTGTGTAAAAAATCAGGTAGTAAAGATTCTATATAATTAGGATAAGGGGACTCAAACTGAAACAAACTATAGTAATTCTATAAACAGATATTTTTAAAATGTTTTTAAAAAAACTTTTCATTTTTATTTTAAGTCAAATTCTGAAATATTTTCTTCTGAAGTATTTACATTTCTTGATAGAAACATTTATCATGTTTATGCATTTTTTTAACTTTGATTTTCATTCATAAAAATTTTTGAGCCTATTGAAAGTCAATCTAAATCTAATGATTTTTTTTTTTTTTTAATGACCAGAAATGCACAAAAATATAAGATCATAATAGATCATCATCTCCCAAGTTGAGCACACATTTTTTGCATTCGCATCTATATAGTTAATAATATATCTTAATTCATAGGATTTAAAATATGCATAACTGGTCATTTTCATAAACATTTGTATAATTAATAAAAAGTATTTCTTATGCTATAAATCACAAAGCTCATCACTGAATTATCATTTGCAGACCATTGGAATTAACAGATTGCAGTTTTAAAAATGAGTTTCTTTCTCTTTGTTTGTTTTCTTGGCTGTACTAAATCAAACACAAAATATGAATTTCTACAATTATTTGCCATAACTGCAGTTTACAGTAAACACTGGCTTAAAATCAAAGACCTGTGATTTGTTATGTTGTTGACTAATGCTCACTTGTCTGACCTATAGTCAGGCCAAGCCTACAAAATTCCAAATTATCTTGGCAAGGAGCGCAAGATACACCTTTCCTTGGCAACAGCCTTGAGCACGCACCTTACTGGTGACAGTGCGATTTAGCTCAGTTCCACCTTCAATTTTGATGGAGAGCCTCCCTGGGGGGAACGGGTCCAAGGCTCACCCACCTCTCTTCTCCTACCACCAACCTCTCGAGAGGACTTCCGGCTTGCCACATATTTAGAGTGCCTCCATGCCACGCAGACACTATACATTTACTAACATCGATGCCTTCTCCGGGATTTGAACTCAGGCCCTTTGCCACATCAGTCAGTAATACTAATCATTATACTGGTTGAGTGGCATGATTTGTTATAAAATCTGCTATAGCTCTAGTAATCTAGTAGATGCAGATAATGGCAAATTAGCTCCCAAAATTTTTATTTTATGTGTGTTTTAGTTTTTATATTCTTTGCTTAAATCTATAGTAATCAAATTTCATATTAAAACATATAAATTAACATGAAAAGTCTTAATTTTCTTGATTCTATAGTGCAATGGCTGAAAATCGTATGGAATTATTCATTGAAACTCTAACTGGGACTGCATTTGAACTCAGTTGTTCTCCACTAGAAACAATTGTATCAATTAAAGCTAAAATTCAGTATTCAGAAGGTGAGTATCTTCATATTCTTTCTCATTTCAAAAAGTATTTGCATAGAAAATTAGAATCAGAATGAATCACAAAATTAGAATTTATTTGATATAAACTTTAAATGGACTTACTAAATTGAATCCCTGTTTGCTTACTTAAAACTGAGAAACTTAGCAATCAATAATTTTATGAGGAAATAATTGCTGTTAAAATTAGGATTTGAAAGTATACTTGTTCCTTCAAAATGAATATGTTGCATCTTAGTCTATATTTTTAAAGTACTTATTAAAATCACTTCTTTTTCAAACACATTTGAATTTATTCAGCAGCTGAGTTAAACAGATGGCAATTTGTGTATTCAAACAGTGATATCAGTAAATGTTTCGAATAACTAACAATTAATTCATTAATTAATTTTAAAGTAATGATAAATAAAAAAATTAACACTAAAATCAACTATTTATGAAACTTTAAAATTCATTTTTTAAAATTTTTATAAAATTTATATTATTTTCCTCAATATTGTTGTGAATTGATAAATATTCTAAAATGAATCCTCATAACTTCATTCACTGATATCTGAAACATTAGCTATATTTTGCAATTCCTCTGAGGCTTCTATGTAAAAACAACATTTTTAAAAACAGTTTGCAAATGATTTTAAGAGGTCAAACCCTGCATTGACTATAATATACATAGCCTGTAGCAAAGGTATCGACTTTGAAAATGCCAGTTTTTCTTTCCTTTTTTCTGGGACAGCATATGTAAGCAAAATTTGATAATGGACCATTTATCAAAGTATCTGTATTGAATCTGTCACAAGTTTTCAGCACATGGCAGTTGGCTCCTTTGAGAACAATAATATTCTTACAGAAGAGTAGTTATTTGACTGAAAATATGTATAAGTGATCTTTTGTTCTCAAAACTGAAGTTGCAATAAAAGGGTACTTCTGTCACCATCTAAAGGGCTGTAACTAGGGTTGGAAAGTTTCTTCCCCGGCAGAAAAAAACATAGGAAAAATTAGTTGGAAGAAAAAGTTCTCTTCCACTAGAAATTAATTTTTTAACTTATTTATATTTTTAGATCTATATTTTATTCATGTGTGTGCTGCTGCATTATATATTTAAATATTTGCATTTTTTATACAACTAGCCTCATTTATATGCTTAGAATTACTTTTTTTAAGGGGGTTATTATATAGTTTTCTTCAGAAGGAAGATATGTATTTATTTTTTAATTTTTTGCTTTGAGATCTGTTTTCATATCTGTGAATTTAGATTCTGAAAATTAATTTCAGTTCACAACAGTAACAAAAATAGCAAAATAGAATAATTATTTTAGAAAGATTAGAAAATAAAATTAGGTACTTTAATGTTTTCCAGTTAGCTATGAAACTATCACCAATCAGCATGATTCAGGGCCAGTTATGGATAAACGTGACCTAATGACACACATATAATATCTGCACTTTCATTTATTCATTCTTGATAAGCCATGTTTTGTTTTTACAAACAAAGAGATAAGTTAATTGTTATTGCTGTATTTTTCCTTCCATTTGAAACAAAAACAAATTATTAAAATGTGAGACCTATTTACTGCAGAACAATTAGTGGATTAAGTTCAAGATTTTCAAAGTTAAGGAATCCTACCATCAAAAAAAACTGTGTATTAATGGATACGATATGGTCAGCTGAACGTGACTGACAAAGCAAATATAAACTGCAACAATTACCTACAGGAAGTTTGAACTTTATGGAAGTTCTGAACAGAGCTTTCAGTAAAACTGGAGAGTTTAGCAAAATAGTAGAAAGCAATGAAAGCATTTTTCTGAAATGCCAAAAATGAAACAGGTAGAATACAGATCATTTATTAAATCAAGAGGCATCCATTCCTTCACAACTCTGCAAGAATGATTGGTACAACTTTGTTTAGATCTTCACCATCTTTCGTGGTTCGATGGTAGCCATTTTTCATGTTGATGAGATAGTAGATAAATAATCAAAATTGAATTTTTTTTTAAAAAATTGTACGTCATCATAAAAATGATCTTTCAAAACAGAATGCTTTTTGCCATTACATATAGCTATTTATTTGAAAATGAATGAATTCAAAAGAGAAGAAAATTTGCTGTAATCCGGAGAAACATTAATCTCAGTTACATTACACAATTCATATGAAATTTCATAAATATCATTCTTTTCTACTATACAATATTTGATATATTGGAAACGAAGTCAGCATAAATTAAGATTTTGGAAATAGTATATTCTCAGCAAAGTTATCAAGTTTCTTCCATGGAGAAAAAACTGGGTATAAAAATTTTACTTTCCTTACTTATTTCATATTATTATGCTTATTTTTCATATTATTAAACTATATTTATCTAATTAATATATTCATATGTGATTTTTTTTTTTGGGGGGGGGGAATTATTAAGTATTAACACTTTTTGCCAAAAAATAATAAACTTTTATTTTATTAAACAATTTTAATTAAATTAATAAATTTATCCCCCTTTAGCAGCTCAACAAATGCATTAAAGTTAATTTCTTCTGATTTTCCTTTTATTCAGATTTTTTTTCAAGTTTCTACTGTTGTAGAAGAAACCCATCTATGATTGTAACTATGGTTGTAAATCTTCTGGCAATATCACAAGAAAACTTATATGAGTCTTTTCCCTTTATTAAATCATGCCAACCAATGTAAAAGTGTCATATTTTGAATAAAAAAACAATATCCTTATCTTTTATTTTATAAACTCTTATAATTTAATTACCAGATTGTGTATATTGGATTTGTCTGATAAAATAAATTTTTTCTGCTTTTTTTATTAATAGTTAAATGCATTGTTATATAGGCAAATACACTGGTTTCCAGATATTAAGGAAAAATCACAAAAATAACAATAACTCATTCAAAAATAAGAAAATCCATGTAAAATTTGAATGTGTTGTCAAGTAAGTGTAGCTGAGTAAAACTGAAGTATGCAAATTAGTAGCGCTGCAATTGGCATATGTCATTTGCTTAGAGAATGCATGTTTGAGAGCAAGCCTGCAAATTTCGTTGTGATACTGAGGTAAGAAATCTGGGATAGCCAATTCATAACAATGACCTCCAGACATCATTTGCTTGAAGAACTGCGATGAAGAGCTACTGGGAGACTAGAGGCAGAACAACATCATACAAAATTGGCCAGATGGCTAAATGCGAGTCCTTTGGCAACAATTTCTAAACCACAGATTCGATCCCCAGGAGTTCAGTCAAGGATGGGGTACAGCTACAAGTGCTGATGACTAATATTTGTTGTTATGTGCATGAAGGAATAGAACCACACTCAGATCTGCAACTCAACTTAGATCCTCCCTTGTTGCTGCTACCGGAAGGTTGGTGTCAACTTCAACCATGCATAGAAGGCTTTATGAACGAGGTCTGTATGTAAGATGACCAGCCATTTGCTTACCTTCTCATCATGTCATAAAATGAAACATTTGAGGTGTGCACATCACTGGAGGTGTCTACTGGACAGCTGATCAATGAACGACTCCTCTCTTTACAGACGAGTCCAGGTTTAGCCTCTAAAGTGATAGTTGGCATTATTTGGTTTGGAGAGAACTTGGAATGTGTTATAATCCATCAAACATCCTTGAAAGAGATACATATGGAAGGGGCAGTGTCTGACCCTTGCCATAATCGCAACTGCTTTGAAAGAGCAATGGCTGTCATTTCTTACAGAATTGATAGACTACATAATTAACATCATCACACGTCACTGTATTTGCTGTATTGCTTCTAGGGCAGCTCATACTCCACATTGAAGGTAATTTTCCTATATCAAACTCTGACACATCCAATTTGTTCATTTTTATACATATGCTATAGTCTATATCACCATAATAGTCTGGTAATTTCTTTTCATGTTATTTTATACTTTATTATGTGATGTACACTGTGGGTCAGTTTTGTCAAATTCTACATACTACAACCTTTTGAGTAATTGTCATTTTTGTGATTTTTCCTTTATTAAGGATAATCAGTATACTAATTGGCTTATTTTCCTCGTAATTTATGACTTCTGTGTTTACACAAGCATGATTTATTCATTCGTGTTTAATTTATTTTAAATTTATTAATACCGTATAAATTTAAAATAAATATAAATATGTATTATTGAATCACAATATTCTACACTGTGTTTCAAATAACATAATAAGTAATCTATGCTGTTTGTCTCCTGAATGATACTTTCTTGACTGATGGTTAGTTAATTAATTCCAGCAGCATTTTTAAACAAATTTCCATCAACTTCATAAAGTTTTCATTTAGTTTCTATGCATATTATTGTACTACAAAGAGAAAATGTCTGGATACTTTGTGACCTTATAAGTACATTACAATATTATATCTGAAGTATTAATTAATTTATTTTTTATATATTTATTTTTATTCAGGTATTCCTGTTTCTCAGCAGCATTTAATATGGAAATCGCAAGAACTTAATGATGATCTTTGCTTACAAGACTATCGCATTACTGATGGTGCTACCCTGAAACTTGTTCTAGGTATGAGAGGTGGGCCGATAAATACCAGGCAAGGTATGGTTAACATTCTTTAATTGCTAGACAAAGTTTGAAATAAATTAACACAAGTTGCATCTCTTTCTGTATCCAGAAATAAAAATAATTCAAACAAATTAATTTAAGGAGTTACTGATTCTTTGTGTTAAAATGTTTTTATTCATTTGCAAAAAAACATTTCTTTCTACTTTTCTGTTATTTAATTAGGTAACAAATTTTCAATAAGGTATAAAAATAATTAATTAGAACAGTATTTATAGATACCTCATAATTTTTTTTCTTCATTATTTTGCAGTACTTGCTTACTTTGTTTTTTTCAATATATATTTGTTTAGTTTCAGATACTAAAAAATTGAAAGATCTGGCAGATTATGTTGAAAGGCGAAGGTATTTTTCTTACTTAATTTTTCTCACAAATTCTTTATATGCCTGTAGATATTCTAAAAAATGTACTTACATTATTGTAAATGTCGTGTCTAATTTCATTATGGACAAAATAAATTCTGTTTGTTTTATAGACAAATTCTGTTTTATAATCAAATTCTCTTTGGTTTGTATATTTTAATGTTCCTGTTTCATAAATTTCTTAGCATTTTGTTTTAAATTATATCGTATAGAATGTTGATATATATTGTAAGTCTAAAGCCTCTTTGCAGTTTTGCATAATTTCATAAATTGTGTTATATATATCTAGTGCAAGCTTAGAATTTCCATTAGCATATTACAGAGATCATATAATAAACAATATTATTACCTATGCCAGAAACATAACAAATGATAGTAAAGTTGAGGAAATAAAGTTTTTAAATTTTCTTGTGATATTAGCAAAAAAATTAAATTCAAAATATTTTTTAAATACTTGTAATCTGCTTCTTTATGGTTTAACATCAAAAGATTTTTATCTTTCACTTTTCCTTAATATTATTTTCTGTAATATTTCCAAATGAAAGTGGTAAATGCTGATACTCTATAATTGTCTATTCAGATGTATCTTTGTTATTTATTAATGTTTGGGTTTTTCATCCCCCTTTCTCCCTCCATTTTTGTCTGCTAGTATTTGTCTAAGTGCTCTTTTTTTTTACTTGAAAACTATCTGATGCTAGAGGATATAGGAAGAATCATTTATAAAAAATGCGAAACATACTTTGTGTATTTATAGACAATAATCTTGTATAAATTCCAATAATTTTCCTTATTTATTTTCTGACTTTGTCTGTAGTCAAAATGAATTACTCATTAATTTTTAGTGAAACAAGTGGATCTAATGGAAGACCTTTTACTGTGTTGGTATTTCATGATGGTGATAAAGTTCATATGTATACCTTAGTTGAACAAGGTGAATGTTCTGTTTCACCTCTTTCTGGAACAATCAGGTAAGTATAGAATATTTATATTTATTAATCTAAAGAGTAAATTTATGTCTTTTTTTATGGTGCCCATTAAAAGTTATTGTGTAAAATAAACTTTTAAGAATTTCACTAAGAATTTTTTAAAAAAACTTAAGTGTATGAAGCATCTTGAGAATTATAAAGGCAACATAATTGTTTATGTAATTGTAAATGAATGTATATGTAAAAAATATTATAACACATATTTTACATCAAATTTTTATAATTAAAGTGTTTCCAATTTAAAATTAAATTTTGAATAATTATAGTTTTACATGAAGCTTTTCTTTATAAAAGTGTGATGAAATGAAAAATTCAAATTCCCAGCAAATTTAAGCTAATATTTTGTACCCTTTTTTGATTTAAAATAAGCATCAGTAATGATTTTAATGAATCTTGTTATAATTTTAGTTTACCAATATTTTTTTTATATGCATTTCATTAAGCATGCATTTTCATGCCAATTTATACAAATAGAGAATGTTAATTTAATTACCCTCATTAGCTAATTAGTTGCAATAGTGTGCCAATAAATTGCTAATGCACATATCATTTTCAGAGCCAATCTCGCATATAATTTTCAGAGCAGGTCTCTTTGCTCCTTACTTGTTGTCCATTATAGAAAATTGCCGTAATTTAAATATATATACGGTGAAATATGTTTAATGCGAAAATGCTTAAGATGAAATATCGGTTAACGCGAAATAATATAACGTCCTGACAAACTGCTAAATATTTTCCTGCATTTTGTTTCTCTTAACACGAAAAAATATTGCTTAACACAGAAAACACCGAGCTCGCAGCCGAGATTTAAGAGGGGTGTGAAATAAAAGAGAGGTTGTTTTACATGTTTCATAGAAAGGAGGTTAACTTGTATTTGAAATACCCTCAGAATAGCCTGTGATACGAGCCAGTTTTATTTTCCTAAGCTACTTTCACGTTCCACCCCCTACAAACGCCACATAAACAACTCATCTCTCATCAGTTGGCTTTGGAATTCAGTGGCGAGTATATCGCAGTGTGAGTAAAAATCTGTGAGTTTGGTTCATATGTTTCACTTTGCATGTCTCTGTCTCTTTACATGTTATTGTACTCTGCATGGAATTCAGTGACTCCAAGGACGAATGAAATTGGTTTCATCATGCACGATTCTCAAAATTAATCATATTCTTTGGCGCCAAAAGAAATGGAGAAGGAGGATATTGAAACAGAGCCGACACTTAATGAAATGTTTGAGAAAGTTTCTGTATTATTTGGACTGTCCTACTGTATTATCGGATGAATTCGTTGCAGTAGTTGATGATAATGTGTGTACAGCCTCAATTATGGCAGACAGAGACATTTTGGCGTTTGTTCAAAATTAAAAAAATATCATTGATGCTGATCCCAATGATGAAATTGAAATGAATGATGCAGCTCCTACTCCCACGTCATCTGAAATGAGGAACATCATAAAAAGTATGTGCAGTTATTTAGACGCATATTCCAATGCTGAAATGAATAACAAAATGGATGCCATTGAACAATTTGATGCTAAAAAAGACAATGCAAAAAAAAATATCAGATTATTTTCCAAAAAATAAATGTTTTTTTTTTTAAAAAAACTTTAAAATTTTGTATTAAATTTCATCAAGTTTTTGTGGATGTTTTTGTTTCATTGATTTTTATTAAATACAGGCACATATACATATCGTAATGTAAACTAAAAATGTACTTAAATAACTTAATTTTGTTGATTTTTTTTTTTTTTTTTTTCAATATCTTTTAAACAAGAAAAATATTTCAGTCCCTCAGTTTCGTGTTAAACAATTTTCATTATATATATATATATATATATATAATATATATATAAAATATTGTATGATCTTAAATTCATTTAGTGCGAAAACAAGTTATTACTACTTGTGCAATTGCTGATCTAGAAAGTCTATGCTATTTTGTGAACTAATAATTCACAAAATAGCATAGACTTTCTAGATCTTCAAATCATTAACTACAAAAAAATTTTACTTTTTAAATTGCAGCAATTGCACAAGTAGTAATAACTTGTTATCGCACTAAAGGAATTTAAGATCATATAACATTTGATATGCTAAATAGCAGCTATTAGCGCTATTTATCTCTTGCCTAATGTACCCACTTTATATATATAAAATAAGTTTTTTTTAATTTAAAACTCATAAAATAATTAAAAAACTTAATTTATCATATAGTTCAATCAGAAGAAGAATTAAATAATTTTCCGTACAGTTTTATATCACAAATAATAAAAGTTTGGGCTTCTAAGTAACAAAATCCAATAATTGAATTGCATTGTCAGAAGTATCAGCCAAAATCTCTATAAATATATCAAAGGTGGAGTGGAGCATTTTAGCACCAGCTGACAAAGCAAATGGATCTCTGAAAATGCAAAAACTCCTACTTTTATGTGGGTTTAACTGTCATTCCAACATGTCAGGCTAAAAATATTCTATCTCATTTTTAATAACTTTTAATGATTCTTGTCCACAGTATTGTAATTCTTGAAAACAGAAGTAATGTATATCTTTATTTTTATATTTTTTATTTCTGTTTAGTGAAACGTCTTCGGTAGCATCCATAAAACAGGTAGAAGAACTTGATGAAGAAATAATTAGAGAAAATGAAATTACCAAGGAAAAAATTGCTCTACTTCAGGAACAGATAAAAGCTCTGAATATAAATAGAGTAATGGTATATTGTTCAATGAACAATTTTTGTCTTTGCTATTTTTTTAAAATGAAAAAAAATATTAATACTTTTCTTATCTCTTAAAAGAAAGATAAATAAATAAATAAATAAAATTTCTTTTTATTCCAAAGCATATTTGTTAAGAGTTTAAACAGCAAAAAAATGTTTCTTGATTGCTTGATAAAAATTTCTCTCACTTCCTTTAATAAAAAACCATTTTGTTGTTGTTGTTATATATATAGACATAATTTATTATGTTATGAAATCTGAAATAAATAAAATTATTTACCAGCATAAGCAATAATTCTTACTATTTTTTCATTAAAATGCTCCTGCACAGATTTTTCTATTTACCATGAAATAAATTGAGAAATCAAATAGACATTTTTTTGTGCTTCAGTTTAATAAGCTTTTAAAAATTTTTTTAACATAAATAGGCATTAATTACAGAAAAATGTGGGAAGTTTCTGGATGCCGGATCCAGAAAAATTCCAGATTGTTGAGCATATAAAAGATACAATTCGTGGCAGAAAAGCCAACTGAATGGAAGGAGATTCCAGTGAATCATGCATGTTATGAGTTTGAATATCATAGGAGCTTATAAAAAAGTTTAGTTCAGCCATAAAAGCTAGCATATTCATATGAAAGAAAAATATTGTATACCTTTATGAAATCCTGTTGGTTTAGAAAGTTGACTGAGTACATGCCAAACTGGCAACGGATCAATCTTTTATTTAGTTAGATAACCAACAGGAATGAGTTACAAGTGTAATATATAAAAAATTTAAATTATTTATCCTAAGTTCCATCTTATCCATTCCAAATTATCTATCCATTGCATTGCCAATATTTATCTGTTTTCAAATAAAATTATATGTCGTGCCTTTTAGTGCACACTTTTTTACTTCTTTGTACGAAGTAAAAAGGAAGTGTTGTAATCGTGAAAATTTTCAAGCAGCATATTTCAACAAAACTATTCATTTTGACCACTATCAACCACTATCACTAACAAAACTATTCACTTTGACCTATATCACTAACGAATGCAATTTAATGATGTTTTTGCATGATATCTGTACATAAGAACAGAATAAAAGACTCGTTTCCTCCATAAAAATTATAAAACTGCTTTAAAATTAATTCTGAAGAGAATTTTTCGTGGCGTCTGTACGAACGTATGTACGTACGTGCGTGCGTACATGTGTATCTCACATAACTCAAAAACGAGTAGCCTCAGAACATTGAAATTTTGTATATAGGACTGCTATAATATGTAGATGTGCACCTCGTATTTTGGTTGTAATCGGTTGCACCAAACGTATATAAATATATTTATATATATATCCACTCTGTTACCTGGCTCAGTGATCTCAGTTTCTTTACTCTTATATGTTTGTAAATTGTACATTTTTTGCTTTAAAAATGATTGAATTATGTTGTTTTTATCTTCCAGTTAAGGTTTTTATGCCTTTAATAAATCTGTAGGCAATATTTTTAGAATTATCAACAATTTTAAAGTTTTTTAAGTGCCGCCAAGCCTTTTTTTTATGGCGGCCATTGATTCTTTACATTTGAAACAGCAGACTAGTGGATTTGTTGGCTATCTAGACAAACTTAGCTTCGCAACAACAAAGATAATGCCTTCATTTATTATTGCTAATTAAGTCATGCTTAATGCTTTCCGGAATTTTTTCGAGGAAATAAGTGTTTAAGATTTACTTTCTAATTTTTAATATAGATATTTTGAGTTTTTATGTATTTTTGCCATCTCGCGAAGTGAGAACTGAATTAATTGAATGAGAAATACTCAATCGTCTGTGAAAAACTGTTTCTTTTTTGCTTTGTGTGCTTAATTTCTTTTATTCATCATTCTAGCTTTATTATAGTATTTGAATAGAACATGTGGCAATGATTAGATAATTCTATTCTTTAAATGATATAAAAATTTGTGCATTATGAGTTATAATGTGAACGAAATATAATACTGTTAAGTGAATCTAGCGCCAGAGTGTCACTATGGTAAACAAATACTAGAGTGAATTTTAAAGAATGCATTTATTCTATTGCGGTTTATGCGCTGTCAGCGAAGTAGATTTAATTCAATCCAATAAGTTTGAATGAAATGCAAGGAAAAATGTGTATAATTTAATATTCCAGTCAAGGAAGTCATGTGGTGTACACATCAGATTTTTTTATGTTAGGATCTGTAATTTTGGAAATACTTTACTGCATGCTATTCCATCGAAGACAGGTCCAAAGTGTAATTATTTTTTTTCAAAATGGAACAATAAATAGATAAACAGCACATAGCTTGTATTGTTCTTCATAAAAATCAAACCAGCTTATCGAGAACTAACCAGATTTACATAAAAGCGAGGCTAAGATATGATTGTGTTGTGTACATTCTTATCCATTATTGTCACTAAATCTTCTGTTTGTTGACAGGTAACAGTTTTTGTTTATCAACAATGGTCAGCAGGAAAGTAAAAAATGGTCTATGTTAAATATGCTGGTGACATATTTTTGCAATAAATAAATTCAACACCTAATTTGAACTTTCAGATGTCTCATATGATTAGTGTCCAGCCCTAAGGATGAATTCCTGGAACATTACAGTTGGGGAAGGGAAGTAATCAATATCTGAAAGAGAGCCATATATTATATACATGATTTTAGATGTTATAATCAGGGTTCTGAGTGGTAGTTTTATATATGCTGTTTGATGGCTCTACAAATCTCGCATTTGCTGAATTTATTGTTAAAATTTTTTTTAATATTTTGGTCACTTGAGCTTTCCAATGAGTTGAATACTAGATAGTTGAGAGTTTTGTTGTTTATATGTAAAGTTTTTTATTTAGAAATCTATATTGGCATCATATTCTGTTGCATTTTTTATATTGGGCAAGAATTAAATGCTATTTAATTAGGTGAATGATATGAAATTTTAGCACAATAGTAAATTTTTGTTTATTTTCTTGAAAAAATTATAATATTTATGCTTTTTTTATTTTCAGCAGTAGTTATTGTTTAATTCCAGTTTTGCAATTTATTTTTTAATTAAATTGCAGGAAATGCAATATTATTGTGTATTTTTAAAGGATAAATATCAAATATCCATACTTTAGATTTCTTTTATTAAAGTTCTTGAAAATTTGGGAGTAAGCATGGGAATTAGAAACAAGCTAAAAATAAGTTTATTTTGTAATTGCACAATATAGCACAATTCACTTGCACATGCACAACTTCTTATGTATAGTCATTAAGATCTAACACTTACTTGTTACATTTTGAATATTTTTTATTGCAGTCGAGAAAAGTTTTGTCCACCTCTCATGTAGAAGAACAGTCTTTGCAAATAAAACAATTAAATAAAGATGTAGATAAAGAATTTCATCTGCCTCCATTACAACAAATTGATTCATATGGTCCTCAGGGGAACTATTCATCAAGCTATGCTCAAAATAAAGCCAAAACAGCTGAAAAGCCATATCTATCATGCCTTACATCTGATGTAAGGCAGTCAATCCTTGCAGGCAATAACCCCTGATAATGCAGAAGATATAAACTTTACGTATGAGAAAAACAAAAATAAACTTGAAAAAGATTTCATTGTGAAAAGTAAAAATTCAAGACCATCATCACCCCTTGATTGTGTGTTAAATAGTGTTTCGGCACATATGCTGACATTGCCTCAGGTAGATTCACCAGAACCCATTACTAAATCTTGCTCAAATTTTTTGCCTTACATTGCATCTAATCAAGGAAATTCTAGGATTCATGAAAAGTCTTTGTTGAACTTTTCTGCTCAAAATGGTCAAATCTTAGCCTTGAGTATGCACAATTCTCCTTTCTTAAGTTCTGTTGTTAAATATGATTCATATAGAGCTAAAAAAGTGCACAAGTATTTACCAGCAACTAGTAGTGAAGCTTTGTCTTCCCGAAAGTTTCTTGATTTAGATGATTGGATTCAAAATAGGCCAAAAACAATGCCAGAGGAGACAGTTTGTAAGGATGAGCTTGAAAGGAAAACACCATGCAAGAATAAACTTTTTCGAGAAGAACGTGGAAAACGAAGAATTAAGCGAAGCATTAAAAATCCTCTGTCAGTCAACTTATCTTCAGAAGAAAAGTCTGCTCTGTTAATGAAAACTTTTAATAATCAAAGGACTCATTTCTATGATGTGCCATCTTCTGTTCCATATAAAACTAATTATGGTCATTCACAAAATGATATCACTAGTACTGCAGGTTAGTGATTAATTTTATTTTACATATTTTTATAATAGTTTTAAATGCTTCAGTAAATTGTATATAAATGGAAGGAGAAAATTCCTTGTGGCATTTTTAATATTTATTCTAACTCAGTTTAATGCATAAGAGAAATGGTTGTTTATGTAGGAAATAAACTAATAGTAACTGAATAGGTATGATTGCTGAATTTATTGAATGAGTTAAAACCCAAGTAATTACACAGATCCATCACTTGAATTTTATTTTTCTTCTGAATTTTCAACCTTACACAAATGTATTACAATTGCACGGAATTATTAAATACTTCTTGATGTTTTTAAAAGTGAAATTTCTGTTGTCACTCTAAACATCTGTTTCAGTTATTGGAGCATATCTGACAAACTGCATCATTTATCATTAACTCCACTTTAGCTTCAAGAGTCTGCTTCTCCTGCCAAAATGAGGGATATTTTTCACATAGTTTGAAGCAACAGTGTTTGGAACTTTGTTTTTTAAAATGTCACCTAATTTATCAATAAGTTCCATATTTAGCTGTTGTAAGGGTTTAATAATTGAAATTAGGATTCTGAAACTGTATCTGATGTTGCAGGATTTTCTTCAGTTTTGTCTGTGGAGAAGAGATTTTGTGCAATTTGAATAGAAGCAACAAAATTTGCTTCAAAAGCTATTCACAACTGACCTCACAGTTTGAAAATTTTTCTGTAGTATTCTACAGTAGATGCATGCATTGAGCCATGGGCCCCAATGTGTTATAACAGTCCTTGGTGGCAGAACTAGATTAGAAGCTTGTTATTTAAAATACTGTTGTACATGATATGGTGCTTTTAATAACATTTTCTTTATATTGGGTACAAGCTTCTCAGTATCAGACTAATTTTCTTGGATTTCTTCAGCAAAGATGATGTGAAACGTGAGCAAGACAAGTCACATGCACTAGCTTGGGATAAAATTCCTTTACTGCTTTTTCTACTTTAATCATGTACGATATAACATTACTTAAAAAGAACAGCACATCATTGTGTTGTATGTTATTTGGCCGTAAAATGTTTAGAAGCTCAGTTTTAAAAATAGGAAACTCTAATTTAGCCTGACATGTGAAAGGACATTTTCTATCCCAGCCCCTTGCAAAAGATGAAAGCAGAGATGCTAAATTTTTTAAATACATTGTTCGTTTCGGCAGCATTTTCAAGTCAAAGGAGTCGTTTGTGAAAATGTATGGTCACCAAACCCTTTTGCATTCATGGCATCCCTGATCCAATAGTCCCTTTTTAAAAGTGGAAAGCTCCAAGGTCATTCGCTAACTTACCGATAATGGACCATACGAGCTAGGCAAGGAAAGAAAATGAAGGAGATTTTATTGTGGTAGAAAAAATTATTGCATATGGCTGTGTAATTCTAAGAACGGGCCTGTGGAATAGCTTTTTCCTCTCTGCATGTAATCCTATGGAACTGAACAGGCACGAAAAGTCTTAAAGAGTTAAGAAATGCTGGTATGGAGAAATTCTTAAGAAGCGACTTTAACTTTTGGGGAAAGCCTGTTAAAACTGTAAATAAAAAACTTATTAAACATTCCAACTAAAATAGAATAATATATTATTGAAAAATACAGCTTTTCTCAGTTAGTATATATTATAATAATTTTTTAATGTAGTTTTTTTACAATTTTTAATCTCAATTTCAACTGAAAATGGTCATTGCATTTCAAGAAGTAACTGACGCTTTTCTAAAAAATGTACTAAACTGTCTAATTTAATGCCGAGCAAAAGTCTTTTTATTTTTTCAATTATTAAAAGTTTAATTTATTGTGCATGTTTTGCATAATAAATTAAGTGCATGTGAAATAAGTATGCACATATCTTGTATTAAGGCTTATTTATTTTTAAGACAGGCCTGGAAGTCTTTGTTGAACTATTATTATTTATTATTAGTATTATTATTTAATTAGATACACTGACTGTTCTATCGTTTGTGTATTTTATTTATTTATTTTTTCTGTACATAAAATGGAGTAATTCATAACGGTTCATGACATGTTACTTACATAGTATGTGAATGTTATAAATGTGGCATTACAATTATTATGAAGTAATGAAATTGCTATCCTTAGCTTGACGTTTCTTTGTTAGAACACTCTTATCCATTCAAGATTATCTCTGTGTGTTATTTATTACACACTGTTAAAGAAAGTTGGCTTTATTTCTTTAAATATTTCTAGAACATACTTCCTATAATTTTAATTAGTGAAATTTCTTTAACTAAATTAGAGAATTTTATAAAAATAGTTTCTTTGTTGTGATAACTTATTGTTTACTTTTAATATGAAACATCCACCATCTGCTTTGAAGTACCAAAACATTAACTGAAATTGCTGAGATAAATGTAATCAATTAATCGGCAATCCTGAAGATTGAGCGTCTGGTTAATGATCACATTCGATATAGAATAATATTAAAGCCATGAATTAACTTTACATTATGTTGCCACAATTATTAAAGGGCATATTTATCCCCCTTCCCAACTTGCTCTAAATGATGCTGATTTTGAACAGATAAGAGTACAGTTACGTGTACTGTCTCTACTTTGCGTTAGATAAAATAAGGCATATATTACTGTTTTTATAGTTTATGAGCTCTACACTGAATTTACATTTAAATATTATTCTTTACATAATATTAGCACCAATTTTCATTAGTCATTGCTAAAGAGTTTTATATTCTTTTTAGTTAATATTCTGTGAGTGTTTATGAAATGAATTGTAATTTTTAACACATAGTTTGGTTAGTGAATCCTTATTAGACAATCTAAATCATAAAAATTGTATGCATGGAATGCTCTGCTAACAAAATAATTATTAAAGCATAATTGAACAAAATTAGTCATATTCTATTTTCATTGTCAATTAGAACATTGTAACATCAGAGATTTACAGGAAGAGCAGATAAATGGAGCTCAAAGTACGTAACTACCGTGGTTTAATCCGACCAGGGAAAACATATTCTGCAGTAGCATAAAATTTTAGGCGCTGTCATTTTTTATGTTCTTTTTTCTCTGATAAATTTTTGTTCTTGTATACTTGCCTTTAATTTGCTTAGCACTTGTGCTAAATGTTTCTTCTGTGAACTTCTTTGCTTAGAACTTGTGGAAACACTTCTTGGGTCGTATTGTGATTTAATTACAACTCTCTAGTAATTTTTAACTTGTTAAATCGATTTTAACTGTGTTTAATTAAAATGGTTTGTATGTTAATTTGATGTTATTTGTATCCCTTCTATTACTACAACCCCTACATTGGTTATCTAAAACAAGTTTTTTTTTTTTTTTTTTTTTTTTTTTTTTTTTTTTTACGTTCTACATTGTTTGCTTCTTTAGATCTAATCTCAATTTTATATATTAAGCAACACTTTGATGTTGCTAATTAGTGTACAATTCAGTTTTTCTCAACAGAAAAATAATAGATATTTAGCAATAAGAAACAATTAATAAATTAATATACTATAATTGAATCTTCCTAAGAAAATCATCCATGGTTCCATGCAGCTTTGATCTGTAGAGATGTCAAATTCAGTACAATAATTTATTCATATTCTAAGAAATATAATTCATTTTAACAGGGCTTTAGCTGAGGGTTATAATCATCATGAGAAGTTTCATTGTATCTTTGGAAAAATTATGAAAATTTGCATTTTGTTCTTCATTTTAGTAAATATCAAAATTAAGCACTAGAAATATGATCATAGCTGTTTTTGTGAAATTAAAAAGATAACAAGGCAAAATGAATGTGAGTTAGCAGCTTTAAATGAAAATTGAGTTATTATGTTAACCATGAAGAATTAGAAAAATATGAATCTTCTCTGTATTTCTTGAGAAAACACTATATCTGCTTATTGTTATTTCTAATATCTTTAGCTTTTAAAGAATTCTCGTCCTCTGATGCATCATTAAAAAACTCAAATACAGTTTCAAATGTAAGTACATTATTATTACAGATTTTCTTAATGTAGTTATTTTTTATAAAAAAAAAATAAATGTAAAATGTATATTACCCTCTGAGTGACATGATATTTGGATTTACTCATGAAGAGCTATATTTGAAATGGATTTCTGTGCTAGATTTATATAATTAGTTATTCTTTCTTTTCATAAACTTTCATTCATTAAGATGATCTTTTTATCACTAAAACATTATAAGATAATATGTATCAAAATATATACCAAGTAATAACAGAGCTAAATGTCATGCTGTTCAGAAGCAGATTTTTTTATTATGAAAAGGAATGTTAATTTGCAAAACTTTGTTTCAAAATTAATTTAATACAGTTAAACATTAAAAAAAATTAGACATTTATTTTTGTTTTAAGAGATAATATTAATGTGCTTTATTTTGTTTCTAAATTTAATATCCTTATATTTTTTAATCATTGTGTGCTAATTAGTGAAATTGTATACTTTTTTATAAGAAATAATTAGTTCAAATATTCTAACACACGTGTGTGTAAAAATAATATGTATTTTTTATCACATTGTTAATTATTTCTTTTGCTGTTCATAAAATAAAAAAAGTAGCCTTGTCGAAGTATTAATTCTCCAAAAATGTTTATGTGCAGCAGTTGTGGGAATATATTTAAATAAAAATTTTTATTTAATCATGAATAAAAAAGGCTAAAAATATCTTAAATTATTTTTCAAGTGATTTAATTTTTTTTCCTCATATGTTGGTATTAAAATTTCTTCAATTAATTTTTTGAATGTCTAATTTTATTATTAACACTTGTTTGAATAAATTTCTTTGGAAATAGTTATAACTCTTAAGATAAATTTGGATTTTATTTTTTTCTAAGGTGCATTTAAAAATTTAAATTCTTCCCAAGAATGTGAAATTGATAGATATTCTGCTTTTATATTTCAAATTTTCATAACATAAATTTTTATTTATTGAAATAAAAATGCTCAAGTTTGTACTTATAAAGGTTGTCTTTTAATATGTAACTTTGAAAATATTGTTTGGGAACTATCAAAACTGTGAACATGTGTTTAATTTAATATTAACAAATACTCAGTTTCAACAAAAATGCTGTCATTTGTGTTACTTTCTGAATCCTACAATCTATATATATAAAAAAAGTTGTTTCTTCTCTTTCAAAAGTAATCTGGTATTTTATAAAAGTAACGATTGTCAAATAAAAACAAAACAATATGAATATTTAAACTGTAAAATAACCTTGTTTATGAAAGGCATTCAAATAAAAAGTTACAAAACAACACTTTGGTATAACTGAAGTCTTTATTCGCAAGGAATTACCAGAGACCTGAGCACAACTATCCTACTGTTTCACAAGCCAGAGGATTCCCCTGTTCCCAGAATTCATGTGGCTGTGACAGGAGCCAGTCCTCCACTGTATCCTTCTGTTCGTCATCTGATTTGAAGCATTTCCCTTCAAGATGTTTTTTAGTGGACCGAGCACATGTCGCAGGGTGACATATCTGGGCTGTAGGATGGATGCTTAGCTGCTTTCACCTGAACAGGGCCATTACACTTTGTGTCATTTTGGAGACATGTGGATGCATGTTATCATGGATCAGAATCATTCCTTCCTGAAGCACCCCAGGCCGTCTGCTCTTGATAGACTTGTGTAGGTTATGGAGTGTTTCACAGTACACGTCGCTGTTCATGGCTTTTCCATGCTTGAGGAATTCGATAAGTATCAGACCTCAGATGTTGAAAAAGATAGTGAGCATCATTTTGCCTGCTGAGGGCACAACTTTGAATATTTATGGGGACATGAAGATTGATGCTTCCATTGCATGCTGTCCCACTTTGGCTCAAAGTGATGGCAACAGCTCTCATCAATGGTTACAATCTGCTCTAAGAAAGCAGGGTGTTTATTATACTGGAATACCATACACAGTTCTTTTTGTTGTTTGCTGAGCTCCTTCAAACTCACTGCATGCACACCTTCCGGTAACCTCTGTCATGCACAGTTGTCCATACCGTTCCAATGCTGGCCTCCTTTATCACTGCCAACATTTACATAGTGACATCTCACCAAGTCGTTCACCTTGTCGATGAGGTCAGCTGTGATTACTGAGCTTGTTTGGCCTGGTCTTCAGTCATCGCTCAGATGCTAACGGCCTTCATGAAAATGGGCACCACTTTCTCACTGACTTTCCCATATAAGAAACATAACCTTCCCCATATAAGGCCACAATTCGGCAATGAATATCAGCCAGTTTAACCACTTTCACACTCAATCTAGTAACACCTCACTGTTCCTCACTCATTGAATTTTACAGTGAGACTGCCATGACATCCTTACATGCACTGCTGCATCTGTTGCAAAGAACACACAATTGACTGCTTCTCTCCTGCATCCCATGCAGGCACCCAACCATGTCAAACACAACATTTGTGGCCCTAGATGTCTCACTGCATTATCCCAAAGGGGCATGTTTTAACCGGTTTGTTGTTGCGACTTTCTGTACCTTTTTATTTGAACATCTTTCTTAAATGTTTTGCAAAATTCTTTTGTTTTAATTTCTTGCACCATTAGGTATTATATTTTTTCATCATATGACTTTTAATAACTATCTATTCCATAGCGATTACTATATCTGCATAGAGCATTTTATGGCTGGATTCTTTTACAAATATTAAATATTTGAAATTTCAGAAAAAATTTTTGAAAATTATGTAAAATGGAGCTAGCTAAATGTATGCTCTTAGTGTTTCCCTTCACCATAACTATGCTAAAACAAAGATGCCTTTCCAGGAAATAAATATACCATATATCCGTTTTTTACCCCTAGGAATATTATATAGAAATCATATCTTAATTTCTCTTAAAAAGATTGTTACCAAATTGTTAAGTATATTTTTCTCAAAATAGTGATTTTGCAGATTTGTGTGGTCATGCAATATGAATTTTGTAAAATTAAAAAAAAGTTTTGCATCAATTTCATTTTCCCTTATGAATAACACTGTTTGTTTTACAATTTCAATATGAACAGTTGTAGAGTTATGAAATAGGTGGCTCATGGTTCACTTGGCTAAACTTTTGGTGTTCCAGCATTTTAAAATGGTATATGTTAACTTTTTTTAAAAAAATTAATTAATGACTAGGGATGACACCTATAAACCTTTAGCTCACTTTAGATGTTAGACAATATCTAGTCATTCTTCAGTACATTTTTTTTTTCCTCAGGAAAAAAGCACAAAAATGTCACTTAGAGTTAAAGAAGAAAATAATAGGCCGCATTCAGGAAGAAAGTTACCCTTTATTAAAGCTAAGAAGAAATCTTATAAAAGGTGCAGTTTGTGTTCAAAAAAGACTGGTTTAGCCACAAGTTATGTTTGTAGGTAAGAACTGATTATTCTTAAATATAAATAAATAAAATATAATACATAAAAGAGATTATTTTATAGGTTGTTACATGTTGTTTTGCAAAATATTAGTTCAAATATTTTACTGCAATGCTTTCTTTATGTTTTATTGGTTCATTTATGTCAAGTTGCATCGTGTCATTTGATGGAACTAGTTTAATTTTGTTTAAACTTATTTGAAATGGTCTGATTACTTTATTTAGAATTGTAAAATTTTATTTATTTTGCTTCAATTATTACCAGATTTATGTATTTACTTAATTTGGCAATGCTCATTCACTTTAGGAGTATAAAAAGGGCATAAGAATTTATGGCACTTTTCCGTTTCGCCCCCATAAATCTCGCAAAGTAGACTTTATTGGCAACAACAAACAGTATACAGATAAAAAAATGTTGATAAATGTTAGTTCTAAGAATTTTGTATTTTGAAGGTATAAAATTTTGTAAAAATGCCAATAAATAAAGACAATAAATTTGTAAAAAGATTTTAATTTAAGAATTTACCATGCTTTCATGGTACAACATCCTGATTCGCCATTTCATATCACATGGCCTCAAGGGATCTCATCTCAAGTAAACTACGCTACAAAAATCTAATTCTCTCAGTAATTATCTACATTAATTTCAAGTTAAATCTTAATTTGGAATACGAGTTTAAGTGCAAGAATTATTCAATTGCGTATGAGTAGCTACTCAGAAATTGTGTAAAACGCAGCTTTACTTTACTAGTGCATACTCATCAGAATTGATGAATTTAAACCATTGACTTTGCCTTTTCTATATTTTCGCCATCGGGTGAGTAGTGTGATTGCATCCTAATTGACTTAATTAACCGCCTGCAAATGGCCTTAGGGCATAAAATTGAACTATCTGGTAAAAATTCAATGTAGTTGTATGCCAGTATTGAAAGAAACAATCAATCTGATAAGAAATGGCTGCGACTTGTTTTGAAAATGAGGAGTAAAACGTTATCAGCGAGGATATTCCGTTTTGCATTGGTTATACCATTACTGGTGACTTTATCGCCTGCGCCAGCAAACCGGAAAAGTATCGAATTTATTTATTTTTGTTTAGAACTCTTATTACTAAGATCTGATTTAGATAATTTTTACAGCTGGTTATTTCATAATTTAAGTTGATTAAAGACTAATTTATGTTGGTTATTTATAAAAGCATAATAAATGAAGTTTGGAGAATTCGAAAGTTGAGACCTTGATTAGTAAGCAATACTTCCAGATGTTATAATGGTTCTGGAAAAGATATTAATTTTTGTACTTTTTAGCATTTTTCAAATCTACAACTTTTTAGTTTGTAAACCTACTGTGCACCCAAGCCAGAAATTTAAAAAAAATATTAATTGTTCTTTAATATTGAAAGGCCTTGGTGCAAATATTCATTATGTTAGTAATTTCAGCGAGAGCGGGGAAAATACCAGAGCAGAATGTGAAGTAGATATAAAATAAATCTGAAACTACAATTCTAAGGAAATTGTAATACTAGGAAAATGTTCTTCCTTTGAAAATCTATCTGATAACATACATGAAGGGTGACAAGTTATCATATATGAATGCTTTATCTGTTCTTTTATTTCATAAAAAATAAGGTGACTGCCTTTTTTGAAAGATTTTTCAATATAAATAAGCTTTCGTCATTTTTAGAATTACCTCTTAGGTCAACCAACCCAAGGCAAACAATACTCTTAATTTATAATTGTTAATCAACCATCATAATCATTGATAATTTTCCTTAAATTTAAGTAATAGCTTTTTGATTTCATTGGATTGGTTCTTTCTTTCTTCCTCCCTCTGCCTTTTTGGTGTACTTGCATGCATGCGTGCATGCATGTGTATATGTGTGATCATGTAAATAACTTTAGTTATCTGATATTACACGGCCATTTTAAAAGAAATAATGAAGTAAATAGCACTGAATCAGTGAGTTTGAAAAACTTTCATTATCTTGAAATAAAAATATGTTTCAAATGTAGTCAAGTGAATGTCAGTAGATTATGTATCAAAAGAGAAAATTTCTGCCTTCTATGTACATTGCTTAGCAAACAGTGAGAAAAGATGGTTATGTGTCAGCATTGTAAGCAGAAACTCAAAAGGTGATCACATTACTGTTTTAATTGATAAATATATTTGAAGTTAATAATGATCTTACTTCTACAAGAATAATAAGTGAAGAAGAAATTTTAAACATAGTATATTCTCTTGAATGCTAAAACACTTAAGGTAAGAACTTCATCATATGCACACTCAGGAAATAGAAAATATTATAAACTTGTATATATAATTTGTTGATTTCTTTGAGCCAAACATGGATAGGGAAATGGCTAAATGTGTTGTGAAACAAGTATTTAAATATACTGTTGTGCAAATATATACTTTTATTTCATGTATTTACTTCTGTTAACTACCAAGTATTGTTCCCACATCTTATCCGAAAATATTATCATCCCAATAATTATGTGACATTAGTTTGTGCAGAGGAGTTCTGCTGCATCTACTCCACATTTTTAATCAGTTTGATTTTTAATTTATATTTAAGTTACTGTAACTTAAGTCTCTTTATTGGTACTACATAGCTACATATATATATGTGTGTGTGTGTGTATAATGATATTTTATTTCATAAAAATCAATTAATTAAATTAAATTCTAATTATATTCCTAAATAATGTCTTGGCAGTTCTGTACTCATATTACATTCTTGTTTCTATTTTTTTGTGAAATCCTTTCTTTCTTATTATATTAACCTGTTGGCACCCACCAAATCGCCAAACTCATAAATCTGTCATATTATATAAAGTCCTTCTAGAACACTCTGATGAGAAAATAGCGTCACCTCATGATCACAATTAACACCGCTGATTGGATGAGCACCATGACTCTCACATATCTATAAATAGCGCTTCTTCTCGATGTACATGAGGAACACTTGGGAGATGGATGCTAAAGTAAACATATCAGTTTAGATTCAAAATTTTGTCTCATTTCTGTTCCCCTGACTGCACAACACCAATAATGTACGAGAATCTACATCATGTACTGTCTGTCTACGGTAAGAACAGCTCCCGCCACGGTGTCTGGCAAGTGGCGGTCACTATAGCAACAGGGCTAGTATATTTCAAATAGGGACGAACCAAGGGTTTGCTTTATTGTATTTTGTTTTTGGCGATGTTGGCTTAAGGGAAGTTTATCATTCGTCTTCTCGGCTTCTTCCGCTGCGCATTTTTCTTAAGCCATATTATTACTATTAGCTATTTATTCTCGTTGTATATCTTTTGTGCTAGCTTTTGCTCAATTCGCTTCTATTTAGCTTGATTCGTAGTGTTGTAATCGCCAATTTTAAAATGCCCTTCCAGTTAGAAAGGTCAACTTTAAAGTCTCAGTCACGTTAAACGTGTATAATGTCGCAGAATTTTACGCTTCTGAACTCGGCGAACTCTTTAGTCCTTTTCCTTAAGTTTGGAAGAGCGAAGTTCAACAATGGGTGAAAAACTTCTGAATTACACTTGGAAAGAAATGTAAAAGCCCTGCTAATCATAAGTGTGAAAAGATTTTGAAAATGCGTTATACGGGGACAATAAAGACTTTTACTCAAAGAAAAAAAGTTGCCATCTGTGCGGAAATTACTGCTGTCTTGAGCAAAAAAATAGACTTCCATTGGCAAAAGACTCTTTGTGCAAAGTTTGTGTTCTGAATTTCGTGGGAATGCGTAGGAAAAAAAAATTCTATCGAAAGACCTCACATTGTATTGGGAGGGAACTTATTTACGCGAAATGAGAAAACTCAGAGCAAGAACGCCACATCGTTTACATCAATGAAAATGGATTGACAGCAATTTAGCTTTAAGAAATGTGGCAACATGATACGGTTGGGCGCACAGCAGTCCCTTAGCAAGGAAGGACCTCCTCTAGGCATTAGCCCTGGGGGCTTTCCGTAATCATCTAACCAACCCAACCTGGTAAGTAAGGAAAAAGCAAGTTTTGATTTTAATCACTCGCTTCCTTCCGCCATCCATTAACCAGCTTTGGTTTAATTAAGGTATGGGAAGAGAATGTTCGCAAAAAGTATTTCTTGAGAGCATGGGTGTAAAAAAATGCTTTACTTTAAGATGATTCCATACATTCCTGATGCCTTTTTAGTCTATTAAACAAGCAATAAATTACAGAAAATTTTGAAATAAAAACAAGCAGCACGTATTTAAAGACTGAAGAAATTGCTTTGAATGTTTGCGTTAGATCAGTAGAGGGGAGGAGGACTAGAACTTAACTTATTTTATATTTATGAAGTGCGTCTGCTATATTACAGAGAATGGTGCAACAAGAGATTTCTAAGATGTCATCTGTGATTTGAAGCAAAAAAAACAAAAAAGAAGCAAAAATAATAGCCATGATTTTTTAAATGTCAAAATTAAAATTTTTCTCAAAAAAAAAACGGATTAAATGTATTTCCCTCAAGTTTATTTTTACTCATTGTACATCTAGAGGGATGGCAAATTCAGCGACTTGGCCTCACACGGCAAAATCAAAGACTGTTTCTTGACTGCAAAAGCTTTATCTGCACCATCGAATTTTCATTTTCTGAAATTGGATGTCGGGGTCGACGCAAAGGGTCAACGAGCATTTTACTTGAAACTATAACAAAATGTGAATATCGCCCAAATCATCTTAAAGCCCAGGGGCAAACTCAGAAGTAAGTTTTCAGACACCCCTATGAAAATGGGTTAGGGCTGTTCTACGGCAACAGACACCGGCAGACAACTGGCGAGAGCTGTTTTACCTAGACCAAGTATATATATCTATATATATTTACTAAAGAAATTTGTTATATTATCAATATAATTTAGTAGAGTATCTCAAAAGGAACCCATAGGTAGTAAGTTTATTCCGAAAATTGTTTTAAAGTAACTGCATGTAAATTGTTAAATGTTTTACGGGATTGAATTAAATCATGAATAACAAAAATTCA